ATATTTCTCCAGCGAAAATTTTATTGACATTAAAGCTGTATCGAATAATTTACTTCCACCTCGATTTGTTGTTCCTTTTGCTCGTTTTAAGCAGTAATTAGGATGAGTATTGTGATGGAAATGAATTATATTGCATATGGTACCAAATAATGTATGAATATAGTAATAGGGTTGTATAATGACCAATAGTAATTAATAACGCAGAGAGTACCACACTCACATTTTGGATCATCAGTAACTAGGTAAAATAATAATTCATGAATGTGCATATCAGCTCATAGGAGAATTATAACTAATAATGATATGAATGATATTTTTGTATAAATGAACAGATCTAGCCGAAAAAGTATGATTGTATTGTTGATCAATAATTAAGTCGTATTTACGCCAATAGTAAGACATTATTTTATATGTGTAATAGTGCTGACGAAGAACAAGACGGAGACAAAGTGCTAAAGACAACGACTGATTATTGCTGTCTTGTTCTTCGTGGCTGTAAACAGGTTCAAGTCAAGATATTTAGATATAAAACAAGATGTTTTTTTTACTTCGATGTGGAGCTGTATAAAAGGGAAAAGTTTTGTTTTACTGTTCTCATTTTTTGAGTATAAAAATTAAGAAGTAGATAACGAATATCGAAAAATTGTAGTTAACGTTCTCTATAAAAATAAATAGTACTCGGAAAAAAACAAAAAAATAATATTGATTCGACTCTACTCGACAACACTGGTGACTCGACATACCTACATTTGTTTGTAAGTTGTAGGGTTTGTAACATACCTACTAAGCACAATACGGATAATCCATACGATATACGTGCATTCGAGTTATACGATCAAATTTCATACTTACCCAATATACTATTACAATAGTTTCTAAAATTTCTTACGACGAGGTACAAAAGCAATGGTTAAAACTCAGTCCCAAAATGTCAGTAGATTCAGTTGGTACATCAGCCGTTTTATAGTATTGTGTAATATGGTAATATATAATATGGTATTGATCCAGCAATAGCTCCAGCTGTATTATCTGTTGTCGAAGAAGATAAATTTCCATTTATAACTGATGAAGTTATGAATTCTACACCCGGATTAAAACCGATTAAATATACAATAGAAGATTATTTACGTGGTGAATAGATATGATCAACGAAATAAAAAGTGCACAATGTCCTTCCTGTTCTGAGCATCCGTTACAGTGTATAAAGACTTTGCGCAGTCTTGTTTAAATTAGAACAACAAACACGTACACAACAAAAACCGCGCACGCGTCTGCCATATAGCTTATACACAAGATAGTTATCGTTACTTTAAGGGCGCCCCCCCTGTAGCGGCCGTTCAACCACTTCTTACTATTTTTTGTCTTCTATGCATTCTTAATTTAGTTAAAAATAAACTAGTTATAAGTTGCATAGAAACTCGAATTTAAAAGACACATTTTTTTTCGTGCCTTTTTAGAATATAT